TCTAGTTCAGTTCTAGTCAGTTCAGTTCTAGTTCAGTTCTAGTTCAGTTCTAGTTCAGTTCTAGTTCAGTTCTAGTTCAGTTCTAGTTCAGTTCTAGTTCAGTTCTAGTTCAGTTCTAGTTCAGTTCTAGTTCAGTTCTAGTTCAGTTCTAGTTCAGTTCTAGTTCAGTTCTAGTTCAGTTCTAGTTCAGTTCTAGTTCAGTTCTAGTTCAGTTCTAGTTCAGTTCTAGTTCAGTTCTAGTTCAGTTCTAGTTCAGTTCTAGTTCAGTTCTAGTTCAGTTCTAGTTCAGTTTCTAGTTCAGTTCTAGTTCAGTTCTAGTTCAGTTCTAGTTCAGTTCTAGTTCAGTTCTAGTTCAGTTCTAGTTCAGTTCTAGTTCAGTTCTAGTTCAGTTCTAGTTCAGTTCTAGTTCAGTTCTAGTTCAGTTCTAGTCAGTTCAGTTCTAGTTCAGTTCTAGTTCAGTTCTAGTTCAGTTCTAGTTCAGTTCTAGTTCAGTTCTAGTTCATTCTAGTTCAGTTCTAGTTCAGTTCTAGTTCAGTTCTAGTTCAGTTCTAGTTCAGTTCTAGTTCAGTTCTAGTTCAGTTCTAGTTCAGTTCTAGTTCAGTTCTAGTTCAGTTCTAGTTCAGTTCTAGTTCAGTTCTAGTTCAGTTCTAGTTCAGTTCTAGTTCAGTTCTAGTTCAGTTCTAGTTCAGTTCTAGTCAGTTCTAGTTGAGTTCTTGTTCAGTTTTAGTTCAGTTCTAGTTCAGTTCTAATTTAGGTCTAGTTCAGTTCTAGTTCAGTTCTAGTCAGTTCTAGTTGAGTTCTTGTTCAGTTCAGTTCTAGTTCAGTTCTAGTTCAGTTCTAGTTCAGTTCTAGTTCAGTTCTAGTTCAGTTCTAGTTCAGTTCTAGTTCAGTTCTAGTTCAGTTCTAGTTCAGTTCTAGTTCAGTTCTAGTTCAGTTCTAGTTCAGTTCTAGTTCAGTTCTAGTCAGTTCTAGTTCAGTTCTTGTTCAGTTCTAGTTCAGTTCTAGTTCAGTTCTAGTTCAGTTCTAGTTCAGTTCTAGTTCAGTTCTAGTTCAGTTCTAGTTCAGTTCTAGTTCAGTTCTAGTTCAGTTCTAGTTCAGTTCTAGTTCAGTTCTAGTTCAGTTCTAGTTCAGTTCTAGTTCAGTTCTAGTTCAGTTCTAGTTCAGTTCTAGTTCAGTTCTAGTTCAGTTCTAGTTCAGTTCTAGTCAGTTCTAGTTCAGTTCTAGTTCAGTTCCAGTTCAGTTCTAGTTCAGTTCTAGTTCAGTTCTAGTTCAGTTCTAGTTCAGTTCTAGTTCAGTTCTAGTTCAGTTCTAGTTCAGTTCTAGTTCAGTTCTAGTTCAGTTCTAGTTCAGTTCTAGTTCAGTTCTAGTTCAGTTCTAGTTCAGTTCTAGTTCAGTTCTAGTTCAGTTCTAGTTCAGTTCTAGTTCAGTTCTAGTTCAGTTCTAGTTCAGTTCTAGTTCAGTTCTAGTTTAGTTCTAGTTCAGTTTAGTTCTAGTTCAGTTCTAGTTTAGTTCTAGTTCAGTTCTAGTCAGTTCTAGTTGAGTTCTTTTCAGTTCTAGTTCAGTTCTAGTTCTAGTTCAGTTCTAGTTCAGTTCTAGTTCAGTTCTAGTTCAGTTCTAGTTCAGTTCTAGTTCAGTTCTAGTTCAGTTCTAGTTCAGTTCTAGTTCAGTTCTAGTTCAGTTCTAGTTCAGTTATAGTTCAGTTCTAGTTCAGTTCTAGTTCAGTTCTAGTTCAGTTCTAGGTCAGTTCTAGTTCAGTTCTAGTTCAGTTCTAGTTCAGTTCTAGTTCAGTTCTAGTTCAGTTCTAGGTCAGTTCTAGTTCAGTTCTAGTTCAGTTCTAGTTCTAGTTCAGTTCTAGTTCAGTTCTAGTTCTAGTTCAGTTCTAGTTCAGTTCTAGTTCAGTTCTAGTTCAGTTCTAGTTCAGTTCTAGTTCAGTTCTAGTTCAGTTCTAGTTCAGTTCTAGTTCAGTTCTAGTTCAGTTCTAGTTCAGTTCTAGTTCAGTTCTAGTTCAGTTCTAGTTCAGTTCTAGTTCAGTTCTAGTTCAGTTCTAGTTCAGTTCTAGTTCAGTTCTAGTTCAGTTCTAGTTCAGTTCTAGTTCAGTTCTAGTTCAGTTCAAGTCAGTTCTAGTTCAGTTCTAGTTCAGTTCTAGTTCAGTTCTTGTTCAGTTCTAGTTCAGTTCTAGTTCAGTTAGTCTAGTCAGTTCTAGTTCAGTTCTAGTTCAGTTCTAGTTCAGTTCTAGTTCAGTTCTAGTTCAGTTCTAGTTCAGTTCTAGTTCAGTTCTAGTTCAGTTCTAGTTCAGTTCTAGTTCAGTTCTAGTTCAGTTCTAGTTCAGTTCTAGTTCAGTTCTAGTTCAGTTCTAGTTCAGTTCTAGTTCAGTTCTAGTTCAGTTCTAGTTCAGTTCTAGTTCAGTTCTAGTTCAGTTCTAGTTCAGTTCTAGTTCAGTTCTAGTTCAGTTCTAGTTCAGTTCTAGTTCAGTTCTAGTTCAGTTCTAGTTCAGTTCTAGTTCAGTTCTAGTTCAGTTCTAGTTCAGTTCTAGTTCAGTTCTAGTCAGTTCTAGTTGAGTTCTTGTTCAGTTTTAGTTCAGTTCTAGTTCAGTTCTAATTTAGGTCTAGTTCAGTTCTAGTTCAGTTCTAGTCAGTTCTAGTTGAGTTCTTGTTCAGTTCTAGTTCAGTTCTAGTTCAGTTCAGTTCTAGTTCAGTTCTAGTTCAGTTCTAGTTCAGTTCTAGTTCAGTTCTAGTTCAGTTCTAGTTCAGTTCTAGTTCAGTTCTAGTTCAGTTCTAGTTCAGTTCTAGTTCAGTTCTAGTTCAGTTCTAGTTCAGTTCTAGTTCAGTTCTAGTTCAGTTCTAGTTCAGTTCTAGTTCAGTTCTAGTTCAGTTCTAGTTCAGTTCTAGTTCAGTTCTAGTTCAGTTCTAGTTCAGTTCTAGTTCAGTTCTAGTTCAGTTCTAGTTCAGTTCTAGTTCAGTTCTAGTTCAGTTCTAGTTCAGTTCTAGTTGAGTTCTAGTTCAGTTCTAGTTCAGTTCTAGTTCAGTTCTAGTTCAGTTCTAGTTCAGTTCTAGGTCAGTTCTAGTTCAGTTCTAGTTCAGTTCTAGTTCAGTTCTAGTTCAGTTCTAGTTCAGTTCTAGGTCAGTTCTAGTTCAGTTCTAGTTCAGTTCTGTTCTAGTTCAGTTCTAGTGCAGTTCTAGGTCAAGTTCTAGTTCCGTTCTAGTTCAGTTCTAGTTCTAGTTCAGTTCTAGTTCAGTTCTAGTTCAGTTCTAGTTCATTTCTAGTTCAGTTCTAGTTCAGTTCTAGTTCAGTTCTAGTTCAGTTCTAGTTCAGTTCTAGTTCAGTTCTAGTTCAGTTCTAGTTCAGTTCTAGTTCAGTTCTAGTTCAGTTCTAGTTCAGTTTCTAGTTCAGTTCTAGTTCAGTTCTAGTTCAGTTCTAGTCAGTTATAGTTCAGTTCTAGTTCAGTTTCTAGTTCAGTTTCTAGTTCAGTTCTAGTTCAGTTCTAGTTCAGTTCTAGTTCAGTCTAGTTCAGTTCTAGTTCAGTTCTAGTTCAGTTCTAGTTCAAGTGCTAGTTCAGTTCTAGTTCAGTTCTAGTTCAGTTCTAGTTCAGTTCTAGTTCAGTTCTAGTTCAGTTCTAGTTCAGTTCTAGTTCAGTTCTAGTTCAGTTCTAGTTCAGTTCTAGTCAGTTCTAGTCAGTTCTAGTTCAGTTCTTGTTCAGTTCTAGTTCAGTTCTAGTTCAGTTCTAGTTCAGTTCTAGTTCAGTTCTAGTTCAGTTCTAGTTCAGTTCTAGTTCAGTTCTAGTTCAGTTCTAGTTCAGTTCTAGGTCAGTTCTAGTTCAGTTCTAGTTCAGTTCTAGTTCAGTTCTAGTTCAGTTCTAGTTCAGTTCTAGTTCAGTTCTAGTTCAGTTCTAGTTCAGTTCTAGTCAGTTCTAGTTGAGTTCTTGTTCAGTTTTAGTTCAGTTCTAGTTCAGTTCTAATTTAGGTCTAGTTCAGTTCTAGTTCAGTTCTAGTCAGTTCTAGTTGAGTTCTTGTTCAGTTTTAGTTCAGTTCTAGTTCAGTTCTAATTTAGGTCTAGTTCAGTTCTAGTTCAGTTCTAGTTCCATAAATGAAGCGAAATCACGGTGTTATAAAAAATATAAGAAATAATTATGTAACCTCTAAACGGTTAGTCCGATTTAAATGAATTCGAATTTGGAACTTGTGGGCCCATCAGGGACATGGTCAGGAGTCACCAAAGAAGGACACCACGGAACACAATAATAATTAGGACTTTACGTGCCTGATGTGATGAAATAATTTTGAAGGCAAACGCTTTAGATAAGTATAATTTGTCACTCGAATAATAATCCCTACGTAGGACTTGGCATTAGGGATTAAGGCTACCAAGTCTTAGTTAGGATACCAAGTCCTAAGTAGGATTTTATATCCGAGTGACAACGTTTACCATTTTAAAGTGTTGCATCCGAAACTGGCATTTCCATTTTTCCATTGCATCAGGTATTCCAGAAATCGTGTCATGTAGTTTGAAGTAGAATTTTCAAGAAAGAAGAAGATATAACAGTGATTAAACCTTTATTTTAAAGTCAACAGATTGGACTTAAAATTTCATTCAAATCGGACTAACCGTTTAGAAGTTACAGATTTATATTTATTTCTACCGTATTATTGTTACCACTGGGCGTTTTTCAACACCACAAAATAAAACCATAAAATACATGTTTTATTAGCCATCACTGTCATAGGTAAACATTTATTATGGTATATACTTGTAGCATACTTTTGGGCACTTTCATTTAAATTACCTCTCTTTATAATAAATTGTACTCTCTCTCGGCAAAATGAAACAGTATGAAAACGAAACATTGGTTTTCGGTTCTTTTTCCAATTTTGTTTTTGTGTTTTTCTTTTTCTCTGTGTTATCGTTGCAAGCTTTCTCATCTCTAATAAAAACAACAAAAACACACATATACATTTTATTTGTAAAGTTTCTGTAACGAGAGTGTATTTTTTATGTTTAGTCGTGTTTTTGTTTCGCGAACGTTTGTAAGCAACGTGTGGCGTTAAGCGGCTTTTAAAATTTATAAAAAAAAATTTTATTTGTATTCAGTGCATTTATTTAAAATTAAAGTGTAGTGAAAATATGTGAATAAATTGTATTAAAAATAAAATTTTAGTGATGACAAAGTCAATTATTTTATGAAAACATGTCAATTAGTGTTCGGGGTTGATTTTTTCTACAACAATAACAAAAACAACCCGCAGAAAATAAAAATTAAAGAATTTCATTCATAAATTTCAATTAAATTCCTTTAATGGTCAATGAAATTTATAAAAAAAAAAAGAAGAAAAACGCAAACAATATCAAAGAAGAAACAAGTGTAAAGAAAAAATGTCAAAGTTTAGTTTATTTGAAAGAAGAATGCATAAGAATTTCAAGAGAAATAAAGTTATTTTAATAAATATTTAACAATTTTATGTGGGAAAAAGTGCAAAAAATCTGTGAAGAATTTCATAATCATTAAATGAAATATCGAAAACAAAAACAATTTTAACAAAAATTTACACAAAAACAACAAAACAAAAAGGAAATAAAAAATGTCTACAACAATAAATTCTAAACTAACAACAACGGCTGCTGCGACAGCAGCAACAACAATAATAACAACAACACCAGAAAATTGTGTATCAAGAACAACAGCAGCAGCAACTGTTGTAGTTGTTGCTGCGCCGGCTGACAACAATATTAACAATATTTCTTCCTCTCCTTGCAATTCTTGTTCTTCTTCGTTGACATCTTGGTCAGATGTTTTGTGCGCCAACGCATACTGCTCCTCATTAACAGGGCAGAAATATAAACAACAACAAATTTCAAATAATGAAGAGGAGGCAAAAGAAGATGCACCTTTATTTAAAACAACAACAACAACAACAAATTCAACCATATTCCCCCATTTGGCTGATTGCCAAAGTAATTTAACAAAACAACAGCTGTTGGAGCAACAGGACGCTACTGCTTTTGACAGTGGTCGTGAATCTGTTAATGAATGTGATTCCTCTTTGGATGATTCGATTAATTACCGCAGCTCTTCGTTGCACTTGCAACAGCCCAGCAAGAAACCTTGCACTTTGGATTTTTATGCCAGCAGTGGTTCGCAAACTAAATGGTATTTGCCAACCACGGATATAGTGAAAATTAATGTACAACCTGCTGCTAGTGCGGAGGGTATTATGACAAAGTCGTGTGTTAGTATAGCGGAGCCAGAATCATCGGTGGTCACACCGCCTTCAGAACATGATGATAGTATTCCGGATGATGATGAGGGGACATCAAATGATAAAATGTGAGTTTTTTTTTAATTTTCATAATTTGGATTTAAATTTGTTTATAATTGTAAAGACCCCGCTTGAGTTCTGTTGTTCAGTTCAGTTCTAGTTTAGTCCTAGTTCAGTTTTAGTGCAGTAATAGTTAAGCTCCACTTCAGTTTTAGTTCAGTTCTAGTTTTATTCCAATTGTTTCCTACAAGTTCTGTTTTAGTTCTGTTTTTAGTTCTGTTTTAGTTATATTCTAGTTCAGTTCTTGTTCATGCTTAGTTTATTACAGTTCTAATTAAGTCTAGTACAGTTCTAGTTTAATTGTAGTTTTAGTTCAGTTCTATTTTAGGTCTAGTTCAGTTCCAGTTCAGTTGTAGTTCTGGTTTTAGTTAAGGTCTAGTTCAGTTGTAGTTCACTTAGAACTCTAGTTTAGTTCTAGTTTCGTTCTAGTTAAGTTCTACTTCAGTTCTAGATTTAGTTTAGTTCAGTTCTAGTCCAGTTATTGTTCAGTTCTAGTACAGTTCTAGTTTAGTTCTTATTTAATTCTTGTTTAGTTCTAGTTCAATTCTAGCTTAGTTCGGTTCAGTTTATTTCTAGTTCAGTTCTAGTTCAGTTCTAATTCAGTTCTAATTCAGTTCTAGTTCAGTTCTAGTTTAGTTCTAATTCAGTTCTAGTTTAGTTCTAGTTCAGTTCTAGTTCAGTTCTAGTTCAGTTCTAGTTCAGTTCTAGTTCTGTTCTAGTTCTGTTCTAGTTCTGTTCTAGTTCAGTTCTAGTTCAGTTCTAGTTCAGTTCTATTTCAGTTCTAGTTCAGTTCTAGTTCAGTTCTAGTTCAGTTCTAGTTCAGTTCTAGTTCAGTTCTAGTTCAGTTCTAGTTCAGTTCTAGTTCCGTTCTCGTTCAGTTCTAGTTCAGTTTGTCAGTCTAGTTCAGTTCTAGTCAGTTCTAGTTTCAGTTCTAGTTCAGTTCTAGTTCAGTTCTAGTTCAGTTTAGTTCAGTTCTAGTTCAGTTCTATGTCTCAGTTCATAGTTTTCAGTTCTAGTTCAGTTCTAGTTCAGTTCTAGTTCAGTTCTAGTTTTAGTTCTAGTTCAGTTCTAGTTCAGTTTAGTTCAGTTCTAAGTTGCAGTTTCTAGTTCAGTTCTAGAATTCAGTTCTAGTCAGTTCTAGTTCAGTTAGTTCACGTTCTAGTTCAGTTCTAGTTCAGTTCTAGTTCAGTTCTAGTTCAGTTCTAGTTCCAGTTCTAGTTCAGTCTAGTCTCAGTTCTAGTCAGTTCTAGTTCATTAGTTCAGTTCTAGTTCAGTTCTAGTTCAGTTCTAGTTCAGTTCTAGTTCAGTTCTAGTTCAGTTCTTAGTTCAGTTTCTAGTTCAGTTCTAGTTCAGTTCTAGTTCAGTTCTAGTTCAGTTCTAGTTCAGTTCTAGTTTCAGTCTAGTTCTAGTTCAGTTCTAGTTCAGTTCTAGTTCAGTTCTAGTTCAGTTCTAGTTCAGTTCTAGTTCAGTTCTAGTTCAGTTCTAGTTCAGTTCTAGTTCAGTTCTAGTTCAGTTCTAGTTCAGTTCTAGTTCAGTTCTAGTTCAGTTCTAGTTCAGTTCTAGTTCAGTTCTAGTTCAGTTCTAGTTCAGTTCTAGTTCAGTTCTAGTTCAGTTCTAGTTCTAGGTCAGTTCTAGTTCAGTTCTTGTTCAGTTCTGGTTCAGTTCTAGTTCAGTTCTTGTTCAGTTCTAGTTCAGTTCTAGTTCAGTTCTAGTTCAGTTCTACTTCAGTTCTAGTTCAGTTCTAGTTCAGTTCTAGTTCAGTTCTAGTTCAGTTCTAGTTCAGTTCTAGTTCAGTTCTAGTTCAGTTCTAGTTCTAGTTCAGTTCTAGTTCAGTTCTAGTTCAGTTCTAGTTCAGTTCTAGTTCAGTTCTAGTTCAGTTCTAGTTCAGTTCTAGTTCAGTTTAGTTCAGTCTGTTTCAGTTCTAGTTCAGTTTTAGTTCAGTTCTTGTTCAGTTCTAGTTCAGTTCTAGTTCAGTTCTAGTTCAGTTCTAGTTCAGTTTCTAGTTCAGTTCTAGTTCAGTTCTAGTTCAGTCTTCTAGTTCAGTTCTAGTTCAGTTCTAGTTCAGTTCTAGTTCAGTTCTAGTTCAGTTCTAGTTCAGTTCTAGTTCAGTTCTAGTTCAGTTCTAGTCAGTTCTAGTTCAGTTCTCGTTCAGGTTCTAGTTCAGTTCTAGTTCCGTTCTAGTTCAGTTTCTAGTTCAGTTCTAGTTCAGTTCTAGTTCAGTTCTAGTTCAGTTCTAGTTCAGTTCTAGTTCAGTTCTAGTTCAGTTCTAGTTCCAGTTCTAGTTCAGTTCTAGTTCAGTTCTAGTTCAGTTCTAGTCAGTTCTAGTTCAGTTCTAGTTCAGTTCTAGTTCAGTTCTAGTTAGTTCTAGTTCAGTTTAGTTCAGTTCTAGTTCAGTTCTAGTTCAGTTCTAGTTCAGTTCTAGTTCAGTTCTAGTTCAGTTCTAGTTCAGTTCTAGTTCAGTTCTAGTTCAGTTCTAGTTCAGTTCTAGTTCAGTTCTAGTTCAGTTCTAGTTCAGTTTTAGTTCAGTTCTTGTTCAGTTCTTGTTCAGTTCTTGTTCAGTTCTAGTTCAGTTCTAGTTCAGTTCTAGTTCAGTTCTAGTTCAGTTCTAGTTCAGTTCTAGTTCAGTTCTAGTTCAGTTCTAGTTCAGTTCAGTTCTAGTTCAGTTCTAGTTCAGTTCTAGTTCAGTTCTAGTTCAGTTCTAGTTCAGTTCTAGTTCAGTTCTAGTTCAGTTCTAGTTCAGTTCTAGTTCAGTTCTAGTTCAGTTCTAGTTCAGTTCTAGTTCAGTTCTAGTTCAGTTCTAGTTCAGTTCTAGTTCAGTTCTAGTTCAGTTCTAGTTCAGTTCTAGTTCAGTTCTAGTTCAGTTCTAGTTCAGTTCTAGTTCTAGTTCAGTTCTAGTTCAGTTCCAGTTCAGTTCTAGTTCAGTTCTAGTTCCGTTCTTAGTTCAGTTTAGTTCAGTTTTAGTCAGTTCTAGTTCATTTCAGTTCAGTTCTAGTTCAGTTCTAGTTCAGTTCTAGTTCAGTTCTAGTTCAGTTCTAGTTCAGTTATAGTTCAGTTCTAGAAAAAATTCAGTTCTAGTTTCAGTTCTAGTTCAGTTCTAGTTCAGTTCTAGTTAGTTTAGTTCAGTTCTAGTCAGTTCTAGTTCAGTTCTAGTTCAGTTCTGTTAAGTCTAGTCAGTTTCTGTCAGTTCTGTTCAGTTATTTTAGTTCTGGTCAGTTCTAGTTCAGTTCTGTTCAGTTCTAGTTCAGTTCGTTTAGTTCAGTTCGTCGAGTTCAGTTCTAGTTCAGTTCTAGTTCAGTTCTAATTCAGTTCTAGTTCAGTTTCTAGTTCAGTTCTAGTTCAGTTCTAGTTCAGTTCTAGTTCAGTTCTAGTTCAGTTCCAGTTCAGTTTCAGTATTTCTGTTCTAGCTAGTGAATTAGTTCAAAAATGATATTCGCATAGTAAAATTTAACTTAATCATAGTTATAGAAATCGCTTGAAAGTTAGTGAATTCAATTAAGCAATAACTCAATTAAACTCGTGATTTCACAAGCTCAAGTCGACAGCCTGTTAAATCCAATTAACGAACAATAATGTAATGACATAATGAAACAATTATAAATGTAGCTTATAAATTCCTTCTATAACAACATTTAACTTATTTAATACTTAGAGAATGAAAGCATAAGAGGAAGAATTTCCCAGAATTATTTTTCATAGAACATAATAATTAAGAAGTTAAAGTAATAAAAAATTAACTTTGCAACAAAAGATGTTTGTAATAAGTATTAAAAAAATCAGTCGAATTATTTATTTTGCATTGTCACTGACCGTGTAAGCCATTTAAAAGGATTATTATTTATTGCCAATTGCTGTGCAGTGGTATTACTAACAAATTTTTATTGGCGGCTGGGTGGGAGTTGGAGAAGTGTTTTCTTTCAAGTGGATGCTTTTTACTCTCACATTACTCTGTTTATAACGAGTACTTGAAGTGTTTTATAATTTTTTAATTTTATTAATTGCACATTTATCATTTTGGTTGTCAATTTTTTATTACTTACACAGTGTGTAATACACACTTGAATTTATTTATTTTTTTTTTTAACAAATTCAATTTGTAACAAGTGTAAAAATGTGTAAAATTTTGTAATTAATTTTCAATTACAACAAATTGTTTTAAGATAAATCAATTATGACTGTCGGCACTTTTAACTTTTTTTACGTTTTGCTATTTTTATGTTATGCCATAATTAAAAATTATTTAAGGTTTTTACTTTATTTTAATGAAAGCAATTTTTTTTTTTTGAAATATAAAAGGAAATATAAAGTTTTTAAAAATTAATTAAAAATATATGTTATATTTCGATAATATAATTTAAGGAACATTAAATTTATAAAACAAAGTATCGATTTATAGAAGATAATATTTTAATTAAATAGTTAAATCCAAATTGTTAATTGTTCAAAAAATTGTCAATTTTAATTTTCATGACACTCGTTTTATTCCACAATTATTGATATCCTCTGTAAATTCAATTCCTTAATTGCCCCTGTTTTGTAAAACCAGCTAAAAAGCTTGTCAAATAGTCAGGTGCATTTAATTCACCTTTATTCTTTTGCATTTTTATTTTATATCATTTCTTGTTTTAATAATAAATTCCCCCGGTTCAAAACCATTTAAATTTCCTGTTTCTTCTTCGTTTCAATTTCATGCAACACCGGTTACTGGCTAAATTAAATTTTACTACATGTTCAACTTTAAAATTGCTCAACTACAACAAGTCATATACAACCCTTAAAACCACAATATATTTTCCGTTTATTTCTTTTTCTTTTACAGTTTTTGTTATAAAATTTATACACTGACACCACAGCAATTATTATTTATAAACACTCGCCATTATATATTTACCATATACATATTAAATTGTATGATATTTTTTGGATGCAAAATGAATAGTCGAAAGAGTACCATGGTAAAGAAGAACTTTTGAGGACTAATGCTATAGAATAAGGGAAATTTGTTTCAATT